TAGAACTCAACAAAACAAATCGAACCAGACATGGGAGATGAAGTAAACAACAGAAATAATGGGAATGACCCGAACAATCAGGGTGTGGTGCCAATTATGCCAGAAGCAGCATTGTATGATTGGGCACAACCCACCGCTGACAACTTAGCAACTACAATTGTAGTCCCTCAGATACAAGCAGAATCATTCCAAATCACAAATAACATGCTACATTTGTCGCAGAACAAGGGATTGTTCTCAGGGTTATACGTTGAAGATCCTAGAAGCATCTGAAGAATTTCCTGTCGATCTGTGCCACGCAAAGGCAACATCACATGACAACGGAAGCAATACGGATGTTGTTGTTTCCATTCTCAGTGACGGGAGCGGCTCAGACTTGGCTTAATTCACTCACCATAAACTCCATCACTACTTGGGAGGAATTAGTCAAGCAATTTGTGAACAAATTTCCCCACCCAATAAGACTGCTCAACAAATTGATGAGATATTGAGCTTCAGACAGAAACCAACAGAGACATTACAAGAAACGTGGGAGAGGTTCAAGGGTCTGGTGGTTACGTGTCCACATCATGGTATTTCGGAACAGATGTTGGGGCAGAGGTTTTACATGGGTTTGGCAAATAGCTTGAAGGCCAATGTTGATGCTTCAGCAGGTGGAGCATTTTTGAGCAAAATATTCAAAGAAAGCAAGATCCTACTTGACAAGATGGCACAAAACTCAGGATGGACGACAAGAAACGCTCCAATCACTCCTGTAGTTCACTCAATGGCTTTAGACCCAACTAACTCTATAGCTGAAAATATGGCCACTCTAGTGACACAAATGAGCGTCCTCACTAAAAAAGTTGATGAATCATGCCAGAAGCAGCGGGTACACATAGTAGATGCAACTAATGGGGGCTTATGTACATCATGCATTAATCAACCATATGTCTGCTCGTGGAGTGCGGAAGATGATAACCAACAATATCAGGAGAACATGAATTATGTGGCCAACTATGGGGGACAGAGGCAAGGTGATCAGAATTGGGGTTAGCAAAATCAACAATATAGACCAGCTCCGCAGTAGTACAACAACAACAATAATCTTGGGGCTATGCGACCACAGGGTCAAGTGGTGCCTTACAAAGGCAACAGGATTACAACCAGCAAAATCGGCAGCAGGTTTATCAACAACCTCAACAACAACAGACTGTGAGACACGAAGATGGGTTTGCTAATCTTGAGGGAATGATGCAACAAGTGATTGGCTCCACTGGAAAACTAACTAAAAGAGTATACTCACATGAATCAGTGATAAAGAATATTGAGATCCAATTAGGACAGATTTCGATGGCTTTAAATAATCGTCCCCACGGGACGTTACCTGCAGACACACAAATCAATCTAAAAGAGCAGGGCTCGAAACAGCTTATGGCGGTGAGTCTCAGTAATGGTATAGACCTAGATCTGGAGCAAGAAATTGCTTGCGAAAGCAAACCTACTGAGACAATGGTTCCAGTACCTATTGAGATAGATGATTCATCAGGGTTAACTAAGGTGACGGTACAACATGCACAAGAGAACGCCAACAAAGAAAAAGAGGTTGTGAAAGAGATTGAGGTTGCACAGGAACCGATAGTAGAAGCAGTGCCTGAATAAGAAAAAAATCAGATCACAGGGAAGAAGCGACCTCCAACACCATTCCCACAGAGATTGGCAAAGTATCAGAAATATGAGCAGGACAAGAAATTCTCGGAGATGTTGAAGCAAATTCAGGTAAATATTCCATTGATTGATGCTCTAAAGGAGATGCCTGGTTATGCGAAAATGATGAAGGACTTGATTTCCCGCAAGTTCGACTTTCAAGACTTGGCCACGGTTACACTGACTCAGACCTACAGTGCTGTTGTGACGAGACCCAAAGCTGAGAAGCTGTCTGACCCAGGGAGTTTCACAATCCCATGCACAATAGGCAACTGTGCATTTGCGAAGGCATTGTGTGATTTGGGGGCAAACATAAACCTTATGCCCCTAGCTATCTACAAAAGGCTAGGCTTTGGGAGAGCTAGACCCACGTCCATGTTACTACAGCTGGCTGACCGGACAGTGAAGAGGCCCTCTAGTATTCTTGATGATGTATTAGTACAGGTTGGGAAGTTTGTGTTCCCAGCAGATTTTGTCATTCTTGACTATCGGGTTGACGAGGAAATTCCCATAATTTTGGGAAGACCATTCTTGGCCACTAGGAGAGCTTTAATTGATTGTGAAACTAGAGAGCTCAAAATGAGATTAAATGATGAAGATATAACATTCAGCGTGCAGAAATCTATGCGGCAACCAAGTGAATTTGCTAATTACTCTCTAATAGATGCCGTGGATGTAGTTTTGGAGGAGGAAGATGAGACATTGAACACTAAAGACCCTCTAGCAGCCTGTCTCATGAACTTAGATGAAGCCAATGGAGAAGACTTGGCAAGTGGGTACTTGCTCTTGAAGGCCAAGGTTTTTGGAGAAGGGAGCCTGAATTTGAGCCTTTGCACTTAGAGGAAAGAAAAACTCCTCCAGCTAAGCCATCGATAGAATAGCCACCAAAGTTGGAACTGAAGCCACTTCCATCTCATCTCAGGTATGCCTTCTTAGGACCTAACTCAACTTTACCTGTTATTATCTCATCTAGTTTGTTAGATGTGCAGGCCGAACAACTCTTGCAGGTTCTGACGGAGTGCAAGACTGCAATTGGGTGGACCATTGCAGACATTAAGGGTATTAGCCCGGCCTTTTGTATTCATAAGATTTTACTGGAAGATGGGCACAAACCTTCCAGAGAACATCAAAGAAGGCTGAACCCCAACATGAAAGAAGTGGTGAAGAAAGAAGTGATTAAGTGGTTAGATGCGGAAATCATATTTCCCAGTTCTGACAGAAACTGGGTTAGCCCAGTTCAGTGTGTGCCAAAAAAGGGAGGTATGACGTTAGTGAAAAATGAGAAGAACGAATTGATCTCTACACGAACAGTCACAAGTTGGCGAATCTGTATGGATTATAGGAAGTTGAACTTGGCTACCAGGAAAGACCATTTACCACTGTCATTTATTGATCAGATGCTAGATAGATTGGCAGGGAGGTCCCACTTTTGCTTTCTGGATGAGAACTCGGGGTATAATCAGATCTCTATTGCCCCGGAGGACAGAGAGAAAATATCGTTCACCTGCCCCTATGGAATCTATGTTTTTCGAAGAATGCCGTTTGGCCTATGGAACGCACCTGCCACATTCCAAAGGTGCATGATGGCCATCTTCACGGATATGGTAGAGGAAATAATGGAGGTTTTCATGGATGACTTCTCACTGGTGGGGAATTCATTCGATGACTGCCTTATAAACTTGAGAAGAGTATTGAAGAGGTGTATCGAGACGAATCTGGTACTCAACTGGGAAAAGTGCCATTTCATGGTACAGGAAGGTATAGCCTTGGGGCACCTAGTGTCAAGTAAAGGCATTGAGGTAGATCGTGCAAAGGTTGATGTGATAGAAAAGCTTCCACCATCCACTTCCGTCAAAGCAATCAGAAGTTTCCTTGGGCACGCCGGTTTCTATAGGAGATTTATAAAAGATTTTTCCAAAATTGCTAATCCCTTGTGTAAATTGCTTGAAAAAGATCACCCTTTTGTGTTTTCTGATGACTGCTGGGTAGCGTTGAGGAACTGAAGAAGAGACTGGTAACAACACCTATCATAGTTGCCCCTGACTGGTAGCAACCATTTGAGCTGATGTGTTATGCGACTGACTATGTTGTGGGAGCAGTTCTTGGGCAGCGAAAAGATAAAATCATGCATCCAATATACTACGCATATAGAACGCTGAGTGGAGCCCAGCTAAATTACATGGTGACCGAGAAGGAGATGCTGGCAGTGATGTTTGCATTTGAAAAATTCAGGTCCTACCTGATAGGCTCGAAGGTAATTGTTTATACTGACCATGCTTCTCTCAGGTACTTAATCGAGAAGAAAGAGACAAAACCGCGCCTGATTCGATGGGTGCTACTGCTGCAAGAATTTGATTTGGAAATCTGTGACCGAAAGGGTACGGAGAACCAAGTAGTTGATCATTTGTCTAGGCTGGAAGTAGCTGAGAAGAAGGTTGAGGTAGAAGAGATTCTGGAAACTTTCCCAGATGAACAACTACTAGCCACAAGTCTTGAGGAAGCGCCATCGTATGCGGACATTTCACACTACCTAGCGAGCGATATTATTCCTTATGACCTCTCCTCTATCCAAAAGAAAAAGTTCTTTCGTGATTGTCGCATGTATAATTGAGATGAGCCATATTTGTTCAGGATTTGTATTGATAACATGATCCGGAGATGTGTCCCCGAGATAGACCAATCTTCTATTTTGCAGGCATGTCACGCGTCACCATATGGTGGGAATTTTGGGGGAGTAAGGCTGCCAAAGTCTTGGAGTCAGGCTTCTATTGGCCAACATTATTCAAAGATGCACATTTATGGATAAAGGGTGATGAATGCCAACGAACCGGGAATATTTCCCGCCGACATGAGATGCCGATGAGCCTAATTCAGGAGGTAGAAACGTTTGATGTATAGGGAATCGACTTCATGGGGCCTTTCGTCAGCTCATATGGTAACAAGTACATACTCATCACTGTGGACTACGTGTCCAAATGGGTGGAGGCTGCAGCGCTCCCTACAAATGACGTAAAGGGGGTAATTGGTTTTTTGAGAAAGAACATATTCACCCGATTTGGCACTCCAAGGGCAATAATCAGTGATGGAGGCACTCACTTTTGTAATCGAGCGTTTGTGAAGTTGTTAGAGAAGTATGATGTACGCCACAAGGTTGCCACCCCATATCATCCACAAACGAGTGGGCAAGTGGAAGCTACAAACAGAGAGATAAAGAGTGTGTTGACTAAGACTGTGAATACTACTAGAACGGATTGGCAAGGAAGTTAGATGATGCACTTTGGCCTTATTGAACCGCTTGCAAAACTCCAATCGGCATGTCGCCATACAAGTTGGTGTTTGGAAAGGCGTGTCACTTACCGGTGGAGTTGGAGCATAGAGCTTGGTGGGCGTTGAGGCAGTTGAATCTCGATATTGAAGCTGTAGGAACAAGTAGAGTCACAGAGTTGAACGAGCTTGATGAGTTTCGATATCAGCCTTTTGAGAGCACAAGATTATACAAGGAGAGAATGAAGATGATACATGATAAAAATATTCTTGAGCGGAGTTTTAAACCCGGAGATACGGTATTGCTATACAACTCAAGACTGAGGTTATTTTCGGGAAAATTAAAGTCAAGATGGTCAGGGCTATTTCGTGTGGTTGAAATTCACCCCACTGGTGCCGTAGAGATTGCTACAGAAAATGACTCTCGCACATTCAGAGTCAATGAGCACGGATTAAAACATTATGTGGGCATGGATGAAGCATAGGTAGTGTCAGTGACCCATTTGATCGAGCCTCCGATGTTGAGCGTACCTTAAATGCGCTAACCTGCGTCGTGCCGCGACGTTAAATAAGGCGTTGCATTGGAGGCAACCCATTGGACTGTTGTATGCGTTGTACCATGATGTTAACTAAGGCGCTTGTTGGGAGGCAACACAAGTCGTAGTTGATTTTTAGTGTAGTTAGAATTTTTCTTTTTGTTTTTAGATACTAACAAGTTTGTAGGTAAGTTTGGGCGAGTCGAGCAGGGTTTAAACGTCACGCAAAGCCAGGATAAAGCCAGGGTCACCAGGCCTTAGGCTGGCATCGCCTGGCTAAAGCCAGGGTCAGCCAGGCCTTAGGCCGGACACCTGGCTAACGCCAGGGTCCACCAGGCCTTAGGCTGGCGATGCCTAGCCAACGCCAGGTAAGTATTTTCGGCCCTCTTTAAGTTATTTCTCCTTATTTTGGTCGAAATAAACCTCACAAACACGCCCTCACACACTGAACACTCTACAAAGCAAACCCTAACCTCACTTCAACCAACACACACCAAGCTCTACAAGAAATTTCACAAGAACACAAACACATTGCACAAATTGCTTGCTCACCCACACTCAATCACCAGCACATTACCATCCATATAGAGGTCAAGCGTAGTCTTGCTAATCTTTCACACTCATCCAAAATTCTCAGGCAACCTACTCCTCACAAAGCTTCAAAGGTATGATTTTATCTCTTTTCTTTGTAAGTTCAAGTTGGGTACAAGTATTGAGTGGTGGTGGTTCTTCATTGTTGGTTGTTCTTCATTATGGGTGATTGGTCATATTGTGTTTGTGTGCCCCAATCCCATGAACCCCTTAGGAATGGTGCTGAGATTGTGAAAATATGTGGTAGTACGGAACCCCCAAGCCGATTTGGGAGGATGAGGCAATCCCTCAATTCCATAAGAACTCCCATGGCACTAGTACGTGTCAAGTGTTTGATGCAATGCCTCAATGGCATTCTTAGTCCCCTTTGGCGCCCGAGTCTCCGGGATTAATAAACTAGTGTTATGTAGTCGTGCACCACATATGTGGTAGTACGGAACCCCCAAGCCAATTTGGGAGGATGAGGCAATCCCTCAATTCCATAAGAACTCCCAGGGCACTAGTGCGTGTCAAGTGTTTGTTGTAATGCCTCAATGGCATTCTTAGTCCCCTTTGGAGCCCGAGTCTTCGGGATTAATAAACTAGTGTTATGTAGTCGTGAACCACATTAAAATCTTAAGTGTGGGGTGGCTCACCGGTAGCCCATGTGTTGTGGTGTGATTCTAATGTTAAGAAAATACGAGGTGAAGTCTGAGTAACCTCGGCAAGTTGGGGAAGATTATGTGTGTAGTGTGTAATGTAGCATTATCTGACTACTGCTCATCTGTATAGGAACGGAGATGCCTCCCAGAAAAGACACAGGCAAGGGAAAGGCTACTTCAACGGCCCAAGCTAAAGCAAAGGCGACCTCCGCACCTCCTCCAATGAAAAGAAACGGGGCAGAAGCTGCCTCCAGTATGACTGGTGCCTAAGCGGTGGCAGCTGTAGCTGCCATGCGTCATCAACCCCAAGGACAATTGGAGTTTGGCATAAACAGCATAGCTCCGCATATGAGGGATTGGTACAAGCGTTGTAGGCCTAAACATGTCCATCCGGAGGGAGGTATCCAGGAACGCAGCGTGAAAGCGAAGTATCCAGCGATTTGGAAAGGCATCCAAGATTTGGGGTTAGGCTATGTTTTTAAGAACACGGGGGACATCAATCTCAACCTAGTCAGTGAATTCTATGCGGGGTTTGACCCACAGGGCACTGAGGAGCTGGTGCCAATCCGTGGACGCTTGATAGATTTTTCAGCCAAGGCCGTATGCCCGACTTTTTAGGTGCTCCAAATGTTCCTGTGGAGCCATTGGAACAATTAATTCACCGGCCTACATACAGAGAACTGAGGCACACGCTCTGTGGGGTCGACTCTACTGCTGCATGGATTTGGGACAAGGTAACAAATCGTCACAAGAGGTTCCCTAAGAAGAAGATGAAGGCGAAGGCTCAGGTGTGGCTCAAGTTGATAAACGCACGGCTCCTACCGTGCAATCATGACACGCTTATAAGCCATGAGAGGACCTGTGTGCTATATTTCCTTGAGATAGGGCAGAGGGTGAATGTGGGTCACCTGATCTGCTACCAGATGGCATCAGTGAGAACGAGTAAAAAAATTGATCGAATGCCATTTCCTAATTTCCTGACTCGGTTCCTACAACATGAGGGGTTGAGGAAGATCCTGAATTTGACCACACTATCGATCAGCTCATCCGACAAACAGACATCACTAATCTCTGGCTGAAAGACGAGGCTGGTACGCCTTCATTGACAGGTGTTGAGCGCAATGCGCGTGATGATAGTTTCATGGACCATCTTTATGGGATGATGGATTTGCAGCTGCGGATAGGGGGTCGCCCGGCTACATTTGAGGAGAGGACTGACTTGGAGCAGCAATACCCGCTCAATGCTCATGCTCAGCAGCTGGTTGGTGTAAGAGAGGGATACAGACTCCCCGCTGATGAGGATATCAACACACCGGAGCAGTCTGAGGCTGAGCCAATGCAATCAGATGGTCAGGGAGATGATGATGAGGAGGATAAACATGATGAAGAGTGGAGAGCGTCAGAGGATGACAACGCTGCTTGATCAGGGAGTTTTCTTGCACCCTACTCTTGTTATTTCTTGTTTTGTCTAATTGTGCATGCACTGAGGACAATGCATGATTTAAGTATGGGGTGGGAACTTGTAGATATTAGTAGTTGTTAGCTTGTTTTTATTTTTAGAATTGTTAGAATTTGTTTTGTTTTTATTATTATTATTGTGTTTTTCTTGTTAGTTGTTTTTAGGCAGAAATTATAAATAAAAAATAAATAAATATGTTGGACTCTTCCCGACGATGGATCTCCTAGACAGTTTTCTTGAGGGAAGTAAGTCTAAAGAAAATACCAAAAAGATTTATTTTAGGTAGTGTAATAATTCTCCCTTGGTTTTTCTTTGGGCCGCGGTTCTTTTCCAAGGGTTTTTAGTTGAACCGGGTGTAGGTAATTTTAATTTTTAGGAAATGGAGCCACGTGGCTATGCATTTAATCGCAACAATATCTCTGAGCTTTGTGATGCCTTGAGAATAGTAGGTACTTTGGTTGTGACGCTTAGGTTCAATTTTTGACTTTAGGATAAATACCTTAAATCATGGATTCTTAATTTTGCTTAACTGCTTTGACTGGAGTGTCGTGAGAAGAACCAATGCTGAATGAGTTGTGTGCCATGTCTGTGTGAGGTTTGCATGTATTCTGTGCATTGCATTTGATGTCTAGAACTTGTCCCGTGTGTGCAAAGCGAAATAGTAGTCTTATTCAGTCTGAGAAGTGATATAGGCAGTTCATTGTTAAGCCAGATATATATAGATGTCACGACCCTAAAACCAAACCGGTCGTGATGGCGTCTATCGTGAAACTAGGCCAGCCGACACAACTCCCGAATTAACCATTTAATCAATAACAATCACTTTTAAGCCTTTAATTAATCAGATATATATCGTAATGAAAGTCTGAATGAACAGTGCGGAATAAATACACAAGCCCGACATCGGGGTGTCACAAGTCACGAGCATCTACTAAGGTCTGAACACAACTAAGAATCTAAAATATACTAAATACAGTCTAAGGAAGACAAGAGGGAGAAAAGCAGTGCTGCGAACGTCGGGCAGCTACCTTGCTAACTCCAATGACTCTGCCACTGAGCAATCAATACCCATTACCGGGTTCAGAAATACCTGAATCTGCACACAAGGTGCAGGGAGTAATGTGAGTACGCCAACTCAGTAAGTAATAAAAGTAAATGAGAGCTGAGCAGTAAGAAAACATGTAAGCCACGTCATAACGCTACAGCAAATACAGTATATTTCCAAATAGTACAGAAATCATTTACTTCGTAAATCAAGCTCAGTTTCAGTAAAACCTTTTAAAAACAACTTTCAATAGTTTCAAACGAGTGATAAAACAGTGAGTAAAACATGATAGAAACGTAAACAGCCCCTCGGGCAAAACATGTACCATAAACCGTCCCTCGGGCATAATGTCAACAGAACCAGCCCCTCGTGCTACCTCACAATCACTCGTAATCAGCCCCTCAGGCATAACATGAATCAAGAACCGCCCCTCGGGCAACATGGATCAAGAACAGCCCCTCGGGCTTCAATATGAAACAACAATAGCCCCTCGGGCTACAACACATCACACACACTGGGTACCCGCGCTCACTGAGGGTGTACAGACTCCGGGAGGGGCCCCTTACGGCCCAAGCGCAATAACAAGCCATCTCGTGGCATAATCAGACAGGCTCTCGACCTCATATCAATCACAAGACACCTCGTGGCATAATAAATCAAGCCCCCGGCCTCTCATATATCACAAATAAGTACCACATGTTGCGCCGCGCAGGCCGATCCCATGATATCCTCACAACACAGGCCCTTGGCCTCACTCTGTCAGATCTCACTCAAGCCCCTTGGGCAGACAGTAAACAAGTACTCGGCTCAAAATCATTTATGAAATCAAAAGGAGTGAATAAAACCGAGTTATGAAAACAGTAAGAACATAGCATGACTGAGTGTAAACATTAAATCAAAACAGTGAGGTAAAACAGTAGTAAAGGCCCCTAAGGGTCCAAACAATCGGCACAAGGCCCAGACACGGCATTTAGCCCCAAACACAATAATATGTTCCAAAATATAGCAATAACAATAGTTTTCAAGTAAAATACGCGACTTAATAGTCGTACGGGATGGACCAAGTCACAATCCCCAACGGTGCACGATCCCACGCTCGTCATCTAGCGTGTGTGTCACCTCAAAGTAGCACAACGATGTGAAATTCGGGGTTTCATACCCTCAGAACAGTATTTACAATCATCACTTACCTCAATCCGAGCAAAATCCTACT